ACTCCACGCAGTGCATATGTTCTCTCAGCATCTCCTCTCACCCCGTCGCTCTCAGCACAGTTACGCTGTTTACATACAATTGGGATTCATGTTGATAAATACGCCTATGGGTGGGCAGGAGGGTGAGCATTCTCAATGTGACAACCCTGTCCATTATTAAGTGACTGGTAGGCTACCTTATCTGCCTTTTTGCTATCCTGGTTATTAATATATTCCGTGTTCTCCACCTGTAGATGGCTGCAGGTGGATGATTTATTTAAACATTTTTTTTTAATTCAGGCTTTGGGCAATTTTATTCACTGCACAAACAGATAAGGCATAGATGCCAATGCTGCCAGAAATGCTAAGAGATAAAAGCACATGGTTAAAGATAGGGGGTTACCTATGGGCCACCCAGGTGCCTTAACACTACTCACACTGGTGCACATCCACCTAAAAACAGCAAGATACACACACAACACCACACAATAAAACTAAGTTAAGCATGTGCGCACACAGCTGTCATACACCAAGGGAAAAGCGGTTCCCACAATCCACCACCCTGTCCGTCTGGCAGAACACTAAAAACGGGGGAAAATGGCTAACAAGCTGAGGGAAATCGTACAGCCAAAAATAAATAAATAAACAAGGCTACACCCTTAACAGACTGCAAAAACATTCACAGGGGCCCCTTCCACTTGTAGAAATTTTATAAAGAATCCACATAAAAATACAAGCACGAATAGCAGCAGTTGATTAGGCAGGCAAGACAGCATTGGCTATACAACCCTAAAATTACAAGAATTAAATTTTTTTAACACATACTACAAAAACATACCTGCTAAATACCTGACAAATGATATTTACCTCAAACAATGCAGTAAATAGTCAACCCAGCTCTGACTCCACCTCATTTACGGATAAGATGTTTAGGCCCACTGCAATGTAAATAATGCTATCAAAAGGCACATAAACTAGTAAACTTGCATAGCTCTACTTAGATAACATCTTTTTACCTCAGGGTTATCAACCGCCACTGCCTTCTCTGTGGTGAACTTTAGCACGACAGGCTATTCAGCTGACGAGGTCTGGACGACAGGTGGCTTAAAATACCTGTGAATTAAAAAGTTTAGAGATAAGTCGGTGCCAGTTAAGGGCAGGTCTTGGTGAATTTTGTTTCTACTAGTTAGAATTTTATCATTAAAGAAGCTCATGAAGTCGTAACTACTGAGAGCTAGGGGAATACATGGCCAATTCCTCTCAAGTTTCCACAATATTTGCTTTAATTTGCGAGTTTCAGTATTACCATGGAGCTAATCGTCTTTGTTTTATTATTTTCTTTTTTAGTGGTGCTACAGAGTCGAGTGTCATTTGCAGCGAGCCTGCAGCACTATCAACAAGATGATCGATTTGGGAGGGACTGAAACTAGCATAGGAGTCCTCTGTTACTTTGTGACTTGATAATGAATTTATAGCTGATGGAATCGCATCCTTAAATTTAGCTACAGCACTATCAGACAGACATCTTGTATAGAAAGTTTTGCCCAATGGCGTGTAGTTCAGCAATACAAACTCAAAAGTTATCAAACAGTGGTCGGATAAAGAGGGATTCTGTGGGAACACCACTAAATGTTCAATTTCAATACCATACACCAAAACAAGGTCGAGGGTGTGGTTTAAACAGTGAGTCAGTTCATGAACACTCTGAGAGAAGCCAATGGAATCTAACAGAGAGATAAACGCAGTACTGAAGCTGTCATTCTCAACGTCCACATGAATATTAAAATCCCCTACAATAATAACTTTGTCCATTTTAAGGACTAAAGTTGACAAAAACTCTGCAAATTCAGATAAGAATTCAGAATACGGGCCAGGTGCTCGGTACACTATAACGAAGAGAATTGGTTGCAGTGATTTCCAACTTGGGTGTGAAAGACCAAGAACACGGCTTTCAAATGAGTGATAGTTTGGTTTAGGTTTAGAGCTGATTAGTAGGCTAGAGTCGAAGATAGCTGCAGCTCCACCTCCTCGGCCTGTGCCTCAAGGAATGTGAGTATTAATATGACTGGGAGGGGTGGATTCATTTAGGCTAACATATTCTCCATCACCGAGCCAGGTTTCAGTAAGACAAAATAAATCAATATCATAATCTGATATTAGTTCATTTACTAGTACACCTTTAGAAGAGAGAGATCTGATGTTTAAGAGTCCACATTTAATTTTCCTATTTGTTTGCACGGTAGTCGGGGGGCAGACACCGTCACTATAGGATTTTCACTAAGTAACTCCTGAAATGGAGGAGCAGAGAAGTGTGTGCAAGTGACTGCAACTCTGCCTCCTGGTCTCAACTCTGGGTTGTCATGGATTTGGTCCACTAATAAACTTGGCCAGATTTCTACTCTGCGTAGGGTTTTGGGTGGGTAACTGCTGAAATAGAAGGGCAGGGAAGTATGTTAGATTGCGACTCTGCGTAGGGTTTTGGGTGGGTAACTGCTGAAATAGAAGGGCGGAGAAATGTGTTATTTATTTGATAAACCATATGAATTGAATTCACAACACACACACACGCTTACACACTTTTTTTTATATATTTTCAATTTATTTTAACACACACACAAACTTTTACTGTTTTATTAACTGTAACTGTATAACTGTATGACATGAATTGATCATTTGTATTATTGTTTAAGCTTTGGCAATATTATTGTTTGACATACATTCTGTCACGGGGGTGTGTAGGTTTAAAGGTTGGTGGACCCAAATGCAGGACTCAAGCAGAGCAGGTACAGTTCAGAGGTTTATTAAAGAGACTTAAGACGTACACACTTACAAGTGGTAAAATTCAAGAATCCAAAATAACCAACTGTCCAAACAAAACAAGTAATCCAAAGGAAATCCAAAATGACCGGACAAGGACTGAAGTCACACAGCAAACACACACACACGTACACACACACACACACACACGCACACACACAGGGACTAACGAGCAGGGCAGGAGCGACACAGGTGACCAGGATCAGGACAAACGAGGCAGAGAGACATGCATGCAGAGGGATAATTGAGGGAATAGGCATAACCTTGACACAACAAACATAACCTAGGTACTGGACACTAAATACAGAATGATCATAAACCAATGAACAACTAATCAGGCAGAGATTACAATAACACTAGAGAGGTAGACAGAAACCGAGCATGAAACAAATACCAGATAATAACAATACAACAACAACTTGGGCAGGCATGGGTCCAAACAGGAACAGAATTGAAACAGAACTACAATAATGCTAACACAGAACTAGGATTAAATACTAAGCCATGAACTAAGGCACAGGACTAGGAACTAAGATGCAGAACTAAGAACTAAGATAAGACATATACTAAGTAAACTTAAACATGTGAATGAATGAAATAATGAACAAGGCTACACAGAGAAACAAAGGACAGGATTGTGACACATTCAAATGACATTGAAAGCTCAATTGAATTGAGAGAGAAAGAGACACAGAGAGAGAGAGAGAGAGAGAGAGAGAGGAGAGCAGCCCAATGAAACATCCACACAGAAAAGCAAAACAGTAAAGTGGTAGTGGTACAAAGTAAAAAATTAATAATAGTGCTAATAATGATAACAATATTAATAGAGACTTATTCAGCCTGATAATAAGGAATTGCAGTAATCCAGCATAGAAGTAACAAATGCATGGCCTAATTTTTCTGCATCATTTTTAGACAGGATGTTCCTGATTTTAGCTATATTACGAAGGTGAAAAAAGGCGGTCCTTGAAGTTTGTTTAATGTGAGAATTAAAGGACATGTCCTGGTCAAAGATAACTCCAAGATTCCTCACAGTGGTGCTGGAGGCCAGGGCGATGCCATCAAGGGAAACTATATCTTTAGATAATGCATGTCTAAGGTGTTTGGGCCCCAGTACATTAACTTCAGTTTAATATGAGTTTTACATTAGAAAATATCAGCTCATGCAGGTTTCTAATGGCACACTGTGGACTAAAGGCCACAGAATTCTTTACAGGAAGTGTCCAACGAAGGTTAAAATCAAGGGCAACTGGACTTGGTTGAAGATACTGGAAGACGTTTCGTCCCTCATCCAAAGGACTTCTTCAGTTCTGACTGACTGGCAGGGAAACTCAGCTATTTAACCTCAGTGGGGTCGTTGGCCCGGGTCATCGATACCGCTGGTTCGTTAGTGTTCCTTGTTGCTGTGACTGTCGTTACAGTCGTTAAGACTACCTGTGGCCAAGACTGAACGACCATCGTTGGTATCTTCACCTGAGGCCAATAGGTTACGTTTGTTGAGTTTCCTGGGAAGTGATGAAGGACAGTATTGTAAGTGGGGGATAAGTGGTGGCGTAGACCCCCTCCCCTGTTCAATGACAGCTTCTCAACCCTGGTGTAGATGGCTTCCTTGACACCTCTTTCAAGTCTTGAACAGTGGAGGGGGTCTTCCAGTATCCTCAACCAAGTCCAGTTGCCCTTGATTTTAACCTTCGTTGGATAACTATGACCTGGATGACTGAGAATCTTCATAGACATTTTACAGGAAGTGCTTGTCAGGATGTCATCTGAAATCCTCTTTCCAGCATTGAAGCTGGCCATTTCAATAACTCTGTGAAACCAACAATCTAAAATACACACACTTCACTTAATTTCATTTCATGCAATGATTGGTCAGCTGTGTGAAGATCAGGGGCCCCAAAGCCTTTTTTAAGTGACATTAATACTGGTCTTTTGTAAACTGGTTCTGTAGTTAATTTGTTAGTAAACTATTCCTTTAAACTTAATTTACTGTAATTTACCAAGAAATGTGATTTCCTATGTGTTTGATTTTTAACTGTAAGAGAAAAACATTGACTGTGTAAAAACTTTGTTAGTGTGGCTCCAAGTTGAATCTAATTGGTGTTCTATCAACAGCCAATAAATACTAAAACCATATAAATTTATTTATATGAATGATTACATATTCTCATCTTATACCACCTTTATCCCTACATTTTACACAGTCCGTTTGGCTCCTTCAAAGTCTGCAATCCAGTGAAGCTGGTAGAGGAGCTCCTGTCAGGCAAAGAGTGGTCACAATTCCTGTACAGAGACCAGAGCTCCATACCTGAGCCACCTCCATACCAGACCCACTCAGAGGACACAGCACAGCTCAGTCTGAACTCCCAGTTTTACTCTAGTGCTGAACTGGACCTTGCTCTCAATGTGTTTGAAGGCAAGCCTGCTGTCCCAGAGGAGGAGCCTGTCTACGAGGATATCAGTCCATCAAATATTATCACAGGAAAGAGCCAAACACATGAGCAACAGGAGATGAACAGAACACCCATTACTGCTGTACCAAAGATATTACTGGAGAGTGAAACCAGTCAGATGAGTATGTATAACCAGAGGGGTTGGTGTGTCTATTGTTGGAAGATGGATTGTCCTTTGATTACTGCTGGGTGTGACATATGTTTTAAAGGTCAACACTTTAATGTTTGATTGAAGCTGTATAAAAAACTACACAGAGGTTTGCTAATAGTCAGTATCTTACATTTCAGCTTCTGTTGCTAATGTTTTCTGGGGTAAACAGTCGATTAGAAGATCTGAGACACCATTCAAATAAACTTGGCACACTTGTGCCCACTAAAAAGGTAACTTAGATATATATTTCAATCTGGACGGTTTTGTGTCTACGTGAATAATTGGGATGACATTTTTTCAAACTGGTCCAGTATTGGGTGAACGCGATGCAGTCAACAGCAGTGAAACAGGGCTGCAATGTAATCCATGCAGGCCATAGCACCCCGTTAGTTCATCCACTAAAGTGCTTGTTTTTGCCACTGACAGACTCAGATTGTTATTACAAGTGTCTGACAACATTATGGAAAGGATCCTTACAAAGAGAGACCTTTGTTTTAAGAGTAAGATTCTCTCCTTTGATCACCACTGCCTCAATCAGTTAGTTAGTTTGTGTTATTGTGTGACTTTGTTTATATTTGTTTCTGTTATTGTGTGATTTTGTTTTTTATTTGTTTGTGTTATTCTGTGACTTTGTTATTTTTGTTTCTTTGTTGTTTCTGTTTGTGTTATTGTGTGACTGTTGTTTTGTTTGTTTGTGTTGTGTGACTGTTGTTTTTTTTTGGTTTGTGTTATTGTGTGACTGTTTTTTGTTTGTGTTATTTTGTGAGTTTGGTTTCTGTTTGTATTATTGTGTGATTTTGATTTTTCTTTGTGTTATTGTGTGACTATGTTGTTTTTGTGTTATTGTGTGACTTTGGTGTTTTTGTTTGTTTGTATTATTGTGTGACTTTGTTGTTTTTGTTTGTTTGTGTTATTCTGTGACTTTGTTGGGGTTTTTTGTTTGTGTTATTGTGAGTTTGTAGTTTCTGTATGTATTATTGTTTGACTTTGGTGTTTTTGTTTGTTTGTGTTATTGTGTGACAGTTGTTTTTGTTTGTTTGTGTTACTGTGTGACTTTGGTGTTTTTTGTTTGTTCGTGTTATTGTGTGACTTTGTTGTTTTTGTTTATATGTGTTATTGTGTGACTGTTGTTTTGTTTGTTTGTGTTGTGTGACTGTTGTTTTTTTTTGGTTTGTGTTATTGTGTGACTGTTTTTTGTTTGTGTTATTTTGTGAGTTTGGTTTCTGTTTGTATTATTGTGTGATTTTGATTTTTCTTTGTGTTATTGTGTGACTTTGGTGTTTTTGTTTGTTTGTATTATTGTGTGACTTTGTTGTTTTTGTTTGTTTGTGTTATTCTGTGACTTTGTTGGGGTTTTTTGTTTGTGTTATTGTGAGTTTGTAGTTTCTGTATGTATTATTGTTTGACTTTGGTGTTTTTGTTTGTTTGTGTTATTGTGTGACAGTTGTTTTTGTTTGTTTGTGTTACTGTGTGACTTTGGTGTTTTTTGTTTGTTCGTGTTATTGTGTGACTTTGTTGTTTTTGTTTATATGTGTTATTGTGTGACTGTTGTTTTGTTTGTTTGTGTTATTGTGAGTTTGTAGTTTCTGTATGTATTATTGTTTGACTTTGTTGTTTTTTGTTTGTTTGCGTTATTGTGTGACTTTGGTTGTTTTTCTTTGTGTTATTGTGTGACTATGTTGTTTTTGTGTGTTTGTGTTATTGTGTGACTTTGGTGTTTTTGTTTGTTTGTATTATTGTGTGACTTTGTTGTTTTTGTTTGTTTGTGTTATTCTGTGACTTTGTTGGGGTTTTTTGTTTGTGTTATTGTGAGTTTGTAGTTTCTGTATGTATTATTGTTTGACTTTGGTGTTTTTGTTTGTTTGTGTTATTGTGTGACTGTTGTTTTTTTTTGGTTTGTGTTATTGTGTGACTGTTTTTTGTTTGTGTTATTTTGTGAGTTTGGTTTCTGTTTGTATTATTGTGTGATTTTGATTTTTCTTTGTGTTATTGTGTGACTATGTTGTTTTTGTGTTATTGTGTGACTTTGGTGTTTTTGTTTGTTTGTATTATTGTGTGACTTTGTTGTTTTTGTTTGTTTGTTATTCTGTGACTTTGTTGGGGTTTTTTGTTTGTGTTATTGTGAGTTTGTAGTTTCTGTATGTATTATTGTTTGACTTTGGTGTTTTTGTTTGTTTGTGTTATTGTGTGACAGTTGTTTTTGTTTGTTTGTGTTACTGTGTGACTTTGGTGTTTTTGTTTGTTCGTGTTATTGTGTGACTTTGTTGTTTTTGTTTATATGTGTTATTGTGTGACTGTTGTTTTGTTTGTTTGTGTTGTGTGACTGTTGTTTTTTTTGGTTTGTGTTATTGTGTGACTGTTTTTTGTTTGTGTTATTTTGTGAGTTTGGTTTCTGTTTGTATTATTGTGTGATTTTGATTTTTCTTTGTGTTATTGTGTGACTTTGGTGTTTTTGTTTGTTTGTATTATTGTGTGACTTTGTTGTTTTTGTTTGTTTGTGTTATTCTGTGACTTTGTTGGGGTTTTTTGTTTGTGTTATTGTGAGTTTGTAGTTTCTGTATGTATTATTGTTTGACTTTGGTGTTTTTGTTTGTTTGTGTTATTGTGTGACAGTTGTTTTTGTTTGTTTGTGTTACTGTGTGACTTTGGTGTTTTTTGTTTGTTCGTGTTATTGTGTGACTTTGTTGTTTTTGTTTATATGTGTTATTGTGTGACTGTTGTTTTTGTTTGTTTGTGTTATTGTGAGTTTGTAGTTTCTGTATGTATTATTGTTTGACTTTGTTGTTTTTTGTTTGTTTGCGTTATTGTGTGACTTTGGTTGTTTTTCTTTGTGTTATTGTGTGACTATGTTGTTTTTGTGTGTTTGTGTTATTGTGTGACTTTGGTGTTTTTGTTTGTTTGTATTATTGTGTGACTTTGTTGTTTTTGTTTGTTTGTGTTATTCTGTGACTTTGTTGGGGTTTTTTGTTTGTGTTATTGTGAGTTTGTAGTTTCTGTATGTATTATTGTTTGACTTTGGTGTTTTGTTTGTTTGTGTTATTGTGTGACAGTTGTTTTTGTTTGTTTGTGTTACTGTGTGACTTTGGTGTTTTTTGTTTGTTCGTGTTATTGTGTGACTTTGTTGTTTTTGTTTATATGTGTTATTGTGTGACTGTTGTTTTTGTTTGTTTGTGTTATTGTGAGTTTGTAGTTTCTGTATGTATTATTGTTTGACTTTGTTGTTTTTTGTTTGTTTGCGTTATGGTGTGACTTTGGTTGTTTTTGTTTGTGTTATTGTGTGACTTTGTTGTTTTTGTTTATATGTGTTATTGCGTGACTGTTGTTTTTGTTTGTTTGTGTTATTGTTTCACTTTGTTGTTTTTGTTTGTTTGTGTTATTGTGTGACTTTGTTTTTTGTTGTTTGTGTTATTTCGTGAGTTTGGTTTCTGTTTGAATAATTGTGTGACTTTGGTGTTTTTGTTTGTTTGTATTATTGTGTGACTTTGTTGTTTTTGTGTGTTTGTGTTATTCTGTGACTTTGTTGGGTTTTTTTGTTTGTGTTATTGTGAGTTTGTAGTTTCTGTATGTATTATTGTTTGACTTTGGTGTTTTTGTTTGTTTGTGTTATTGTGTGACTGTTGTTTTTGTTTGTTCGTGTTATTGTGTGACTTTGTTGTTTTTGTTTATATGTGTTATTGTGTGACTGTTGTTTTTGTTTATATGTGTTATTGTGTGACTGTTGTTTTTGTTTGTTTGTGTTATTGTGAGTTTGTAGTTTCTGTATGCATTATTGTTTGACTTTGTTGTTTTTTGTTTGTTTGTGTTATTGTGTGACTTTGTTGTTTTTGTTTATATGTGTTATTGCGTGACTGTTGTTTTTGTTTGTTTGTGTTATTGTTTCACTTTGTTGTTTTTGTTTGTTTGTTATTGTGTGACTTTGTTTTTTGTTGTTTGTTTGTGTTATTGTGTGACTATGTTGTTTTTGTGTGTTTGTGTTATTGTGTGACTTTGTTGTTTTTGTTTGTTTGTGTTATTGTTTCACTTTGTTGTTTTTGTTTGTTTGTGTTATTCTGTGACTTTGTTTGTGTTATTATTATTATTACTGATAGAAATAATGGACTAAAGAATAAAAATAGGAAGTGTGGAATGGAATGTGTTGGTAGCATTGCAGTGTTACAGTCCAATTATTCCAAACAGGCCTCAGGACTAAATATATTTATGACACAGTGGAGTTCATCCAGCCTGGTCAGACATGCAAGTACTTTTCTGATATTAAGGTTGGTGAGTGGTCCAAAACAATATTCCATTTCTATATTCTGTGTTCAATATCTGATCATGTTTTAATTACCACACTCTCTACTAGTCTCAGGGGGTTCTGGACAGTTCCATTAAGAAGTATCTCATCAAGCTGAGCAAGAAGAGGAAACACAGAGCACGGAAATGGCATCGTGACAGGAATCATGGTCAGACTGCCATCTGTCTTCTCGATTAGTAAAGTCCACTGTCTTGCCTGGTTACTGACAAAAAGTGAAAATAATGGTGGTATGTCTTTCTATATGAGGGAATAAGCTAAATGTAAGGGTAAAAGAATGACACGAGTCTTGTTTTGAAGGAGAGAACCTTGGCCAGTCTCCATCCTCCACCTCTCCACAAGTCTTCTCTGCCTCCATCTTCTATAAAATTCCAGCTTCAGGAGGAGAGGAGGAACAGCAGGGCTGTATAGCTAAGGTCAGTACAAGGAACCTTTATTTCACTATTTTGATTTTTCCTCTTCAGCTGATGTGTTGATCTGTGTGTGTGTCAGTCTGGAGGAAGCAGTCCCAGATGTCTGGCCAAGATGAAGTCAGCTCTGAAGCTGGGAGCAGCTCAGCCAAAGGAAGACAGAAGGAAGTAGAGGACATCCTATTAAAAGTTGTTTGATATTAACATCAATTATTACAACAAAATCAAAAATTGCACCCTTTTTTGTGGAATTATATGGATAATAAGGAGAATGTGTACAAAAAGTAATAATGTTTTGCCTTGACTACCTACCATGCATTTGTTGGCTTAACCAATGTGATGGGTTTTCAGTGTCCTTTAAGTAAGAATATAATGTCGTATCTGTATAAATGTAGTGCTATAATACTAGAGATAACTTGTTTTTTTATACAAATACATTTTATTATTTATGTCAAAACAATAAAATAAACAACATTATTGCCAGGCATCACATCTAGGCTACATCATATTTAATCGAACGTGGGGACAGCAAATCTTTACACTGCATAATTTGTTTGTTTGTGGCAAAAATAAAAAAGGAGTCAAAACAACTATGAGGATTTAGTATCACGAAAAAGTTACATCACAAAGGTACACAGATTGATCTATAAAATATCAAGAGCCAGATTTTAAAATCAAATGTGGTTGCATAAACTAGTTCAAATATGCGGTCAGATTAGAAAACATTTCAGTCTTCAAAATATAGATTTTCTTTGATATTGTTGAAGCTTGCCAAAGTCTCTATCACTTTCGATCTATCTATATCTTCAAATATGTTTAATGCCATCTCAGTCCTCCCCCAAAGTCCTATCATTCTCAGTACTCCGTGTTAACCAGTATAATAGCGGGGGCAATCTCCAAAATATAAAACATCATTCAAAACAGGAGCCTTTATACATGGCATAAGAGCAAAACTGCATGGGAAATGGACAGTGAAGAAACTATTCCTGAAGAGATTTGTGAAGACATCATTTCACATATATATGCCTCTTTCTGTATTCCACATGGTTTAATCCAATTTAAGAAACAAGTACATCGATTACATTAATCCAATGGCAAACTAGCCAAGCTATATTCTAATGTCCCCCTAAAACGCCCCAGACTCCCAGTGTAGGTTATATGTTTTAGATTTGTCAGCCTCTTTCCAGTTTTGGACTTCTGTTTTAAAAATACTTTCTGCATTAGGTGGGGAAACAGTAACTCCTAAACCTTTAACTGCAATTTTGGGAGCAATTGCATTTGCATCACTGCTTGCTTGCCATCTTGTACTGCTTAAATAGATAGGGAAGGTGGCATCTGAAAGGTGATTCTGGAGAAAATAATGTAATATCAGAATTGTTTTAATTTAGTTACCTTTGTTTTTGTTGTTTTAAGTATGTATTTTGTGTTTATAGATTTGTGTTTGATTTTTTCATAGTTATTTTTGGATACATATATGCAGTATCCTTGCAGCTTTTTGTAATCAAAATGCCATCTCTGATGTGTGTCGGTGTGTGTGTGTGTGTGTGTGTGTACTCAGACATTCCGATTTCTGTAATTTTGTGATGGGAAGTTTTATGAATAAAGCTGTTAAAAATGTAATATCTGTTTTATAGACTGTATAAAAGAAGTGGACATAGCCACAGTGACGTCACCCGTTGGTTTGTGTTTTGACTGTTTTGAAGCCTCAAGTTTGGCATTTTGGTCCGTCCCCATCTTGGTTTTTGCAACCAGCAGGGACCATATTTGGTTAGCAAGGTGCATCCATTTTACATGTTACTTGTGATATTAATTGGGATGCTAATTATGGCTAGTGAAAAACAGGCTTAAAACAAAATGTATTTAGTGGAAAAAATTAACAGTCGACTTCTTAGAGTATCTTTTGGTACAACTGAACACTGAACAAGACATTTTACAATTAACTTTCCTGAAGTGAAAACACACTGTGATAGGGTCAAAGCTCTGAGAGAGCACCTAAAAACAAGTTCACAGCTAACATTAGTCGCCTGATTGATAGGTCGCTGTGGTAGCGACTTGTCATTCACAAGCAATCACGTGCTAATCACATTCTAATCACCGAGACCTGCCTTCAACCACACATTCTGGATACAGCTATCACGCTGGCAGGCAGTACAGAACATGACAGGACCAGAGGCTCCGTTAAGAGCAAAGGAGGGGGTATGCTTGTTTGTCAACAGCAGTTGGTGTACTAATACTAAGACCAGGGTGCAAACTACGGGGGAGCCAGGGGGAGCTTAGCTCGCCTTAATAAGACCTCAGTTCCCCTAAAAGTATGATTTGTGATATTTCATATTGGGGGGTCTGTAAAATATTGACAGCATGCTTTATTTCCATTAATAATCGTCACCTGTGTGTTAAAGCAAGATGGCGCCTGTGTTTGGCTTGGCCGCTGCTGCGTTGCATATGTGTCAACTTTCAGTGTTTGTACTGGTATATTTTGTTATCATATCCGCCCTAACGTCTAATTGATTGTGTCTCTGCTGCTTACGATCGACGCTCGTTGTTGGACATCAGAGAGTCTATGGAAGGACTCTTTGATAGCTGGGAAAGTTATAAACAAACTTTTCCGCCCCCACTCGTGTGTCCTCTCTCCTCACCTGAGTACCGGCTTCTGTTTACGACCAGGGGCTCTAGTAATCCCAAGAAGACACTGAGGAGAAGGGGCTGCAGAGCTGGCGCTCAGGTCAAGATGCAGTGACCTTCCTGGATGGGTGTGCTCTGGCCTCATCCCGGAGAACAAACCCGGTGGTTGCGGCTGGTTTCCTTTTCCATTTTACTCAGCATGTTACTGGACCCACACACATTAAGGGCCACACCCTGGACCTCGTCTTCTCACTTGGTCTTGATATAGTAAATGCTCGTGTAGAAGATGTCCATGTGAGTGATCATAGCTGTGTGTTCTTTGACATTAACTTTCCTCTGGATCTTCCGCCCCTGGGAATTAGGGCCCAAAGGCAGATTATTAATCATGATGCTGCGGAGAGGTTCTCTGCCTTGTTTGACCGATGTTCACTGATGGGATGCAGTAATGCAGATGTTTTTTATTTATTATCAGTGCTTAGCACTTTTAGATAAAGTGGCACCAGTTAAAACAAATATTGTCTCCCATAAAAAAACCTTGTCCTTGGGTTGATGAAACTTTTGTAGAAAAGGTGGACGTCTATGGAAATCTTCTAAACTTGAGGTTCATAGGCTTTATCTGAGATAACTAAGAGTTACCTTAAACGAGATGCTGAGAAACGCGAGAACTTGCTTCTTTTCTCAGCTTATATCCTCGAATAAGCAAAATCCTAAAATCTTGTTTGAAACTATAAATGCAATTGTTTCTCCTTGTGAGGGAACGATCACCGACCGTCCGCAGCTGGCCGGTTGCTCTGCGATCTCCTGACCCACTCCTTCTCCGGTACAGGTTGTGTCGCTAGTACGACCGGCACACTGTGAACAGTTTGTGATCGTTCTCTGTGCGTCTCTCGTCTCTGTGCGTCTCTCGTCTCTGTGCTTGGACCCCTCCTTTTCACCATTTACATGCTCCCCCCTTGGCCAGATAATACGCCGCCAGGGTGACACACAGCTGTATCTTAGCACCAAACCATCCACTCAGCTTCCCCCTCTATCACTTGTTAACTGTCTGAATGAAATAAAACCTGGATGTCATCTAACCAACTCAAACTAAACAGCAGCAAAACAGAGCTAATGGTAGTGGCTCCCAAGCCGCTGCTCCTGAGGGTAGGTGATCTCCTCAAAGTGGATGGTTTCTCCATCTCTCCATCCCAAGTCAGCAACCTTGGTGTTATTTTGGACTCCAACTTTTCCTTTCACTCACATGTCAAACTCATTACCAAGTCTGCCTTCTATCACCTCAAAAACATCTCCGGACTTCGCCGTTTCACTCCCAGACTCTCGGACGCTGTGCACAAAGGTGTCAATTATCACTTCCTGTGTCCCCTTTGTGGCACTACATAGCACTTGGCGCTACGACAATAACTTAATACTGGCATGTAGATGTGTTCGAGGCGTGACTGTTATCAAGCACATAAAGTTTCTATTGAGTAAACCTGAGAATAATTCTCCTCAGTTTGGCCTTCTTTCTATTGGGTTTTGGTCAATGGCTCCTGTCAGTTTCAGATGACTGCACCTCTATGTTGAGATTGTTGAGAAATGTCACCAACAACAATATTTGTGTTTTCATGATCGCTTTTCGGTACTCTAAACACAACAAGGCAGTTCCATCTGGAGTACTGTTCTTGTTTGTCAAAAAATATAGTCCAGGTCATCATACTTCCTTTGTAGTTTATCAGTTGTGTTTTTAAATTCATACTTTAGGGATTCCCTTACCATTTCCATGATAGAGTCCATGATAGCCTTTTTCACCAGTTCAATGAGAGAATCCACCAGTATCTTACTGAGTTTACAGATGAAATCAGAGTCCTGAAATACAATATCAATCAGATAGGACAGAAAGGCTTATTATATGGTTTGTATACCACTGTAAGTTTTTAACAAAAATATACACGGCCCTATCTTAGGCCCCCGTAATCACCAACAACCTCACCCACGGGACAGGGCATCAGCCAGGATGTTGTCCGTTCCCCTCTTATGTTTGATGTGGAGGTTGTAGCCTTGAGCCAGGAGGGCCCAGCGCATCAAACGCTGGTTACTGTTGTCCATGCAAGCTAGGAAGACAAGAGGGTTATGATCTGTGTAAACGGTGACCGGCAAGGAACTTGAACCCACACACACTTCGAAGTGTTGTAGAGCCAGGAGCATGGTAAACGTCTCCTTCTCTGTGGTGGAATAGTTCAACTGGTGTTTCTTGAACTTAGCTGAGAAATAACACAGGTTTACACACGTCTCCATCCCCCCTTTGCAGCAGCACCACCCCTGCCCCAGTGGCACTAGCATCCACTTCCAGGTGAAAAGGTTGGGAAAAATTGGGCGCCGCCAGCACAGGTGCACTGCAGAGAAGAGACTTGGCAGCCTCAAAGGCCTGATCACACACATCATCCAACACAAAAGGTCTACACAGTCTGGTGAGTGGTTGCAACTACCACCGAAAAGTTTTGGTAGAAACATCTATAGTATTCAGCCATACCCAGGAATCTTCTAAGCTCACGTCTAGTGGTGGGAGTCGGGAGAGATAAAATAGCGGTTACTTTGGCATCCAGGAGCCGGACCTGCCCCTGACCAACCTGCTTACCAAGATAAGCAACCGCGGCCTTCCCAAATTCACACTTTGCCAAATTCAGTGTGAGAGAGGCATTTGTCAACCGCTGACACACAGCCTCTAAACTTGACATGTGGCTACCCCAGTCCTCAGAGTACACGACTACATCATCAAGATAGACACTACAGTTGGGCACATCCCCCAGTACAAGCTGCATCAGGCGTTGGAAAGTGGCAGGAGCATTCTTCACCCCAAAGAGCACACAGTGTACTGCATAAACGCATCTGGTGTCACAAAGGCTGAGATATCGGAAGCACGCTGGGTCAAAGGCACCTGCCAGTATCCTATCTAACTTTGTGATACATTTAGCTGGGCCGTCCCTAGTTGAGATGTGGGTAAGTAGGACAATTGTTGGGCTACGGTAGCCATGAATTTAGAGTTAGCAAGCCTACCACACGTGATCTTCACATGGCGTTGCTAGGTCAGTCTCAGACCAGTCACCAGTGAGAGATGTAGCTCCCACCGCCACCGCCGCCCCCGTTGGAGTCTGCACCGGTTTCACTAGGGCGTCATCTCTGGAATGAAAAGGCTTCAACATGTTTGTGTGACACAGACGTGTTTTCCGTCTACGCTCAGGTGTACGAATCACATAATCTGTCTCTGAAAGTTCTCCTTCCACATCATATGGCCCGGAGAACGTAGCGGAAAGGGCAGACCCAGGGACGGGCAGCAAGACCAACACCTTCTCACCTGCATTGAACTGCCGTTCAACTGCCTTTTTGTCAAATCGCCCCTTCATACGACTCTGGGTGGAAGAAAGAGATTCCCTCGCCAGCTCCACAGCACGATGTAACTGGGAAACAAAGTCCAGCACGTTAGTTTAGGAAGACTTATCACACATCATCCTTTCCCTCAACATGCCACGCACGTTATGGCCAAACACAAGCTCGGTTGGGCTAAAACCTAAGGACTCTTGCTTTGTGTCACGGGCAGCAAAAAGTACAAAAGGCACCCCTTCATCAGTCTTTACACGTCTCATGGCAATTTTTCTTGAGCATGGATTTTAACGTTTGGTGCCAGCGCTCAAGAGCTCCCTGCGACTCGGGATGATAAGCACTAGACACTGAGTGAGCGATTCCCAATGAGGTGAGAGTTTGTTTGAACACCTTAGAGAGGACGTTAGTTCCCTGATCGGTTTGTACTATTTTGGGCAAACCGTATGTAGTGAAAAACCTGACTAGTGCCTTGCTTACCGACACGGCAGTGATTTTAAGCAGAGGGATGGCTTCTGGGAATCAGGTGGCAACACAAATCATGGTGAGCAGGAACTGATTACCAGCCTTAGTTTTGGGTAACGGGCCTACACAGTCAACCATGATGTGTTCGAATGGTTCACCAACCACAGGAATTGGGTTGCAACGGGGCCAGTGGGACAGGCTGGTTTGGTTTGCCCACCACTTGACAGGTCCTGCAGGTTTTACAAAAACGGGTCACATCAGTTTTTATACCGGGCCAAAAGAACTGCTTTAGTACACGGTTGTAGGTCTTACGAATGCCCAAATGACCTGCCCATAAATGATCATGTGCCAATTCCAGGATCTGCTGTCGACGGTCAGCAGGTGCCACTACCTGATAAATCACCTTCCAATCGCTGTCTGGCTCTATTCCTGCGTCATCTGCTTGAGAGACCCACCTGCGCATCAGTACTCCGTTATCCACAAAGAAGGGTCGCTTACTGTTACACTCTGTTTTTTCTTTGACCACTGAAGCAAAACATTTAACCAATGAGGGATCACCTCTCTGAGCTTTTATCAGAGCATTGTGAGTGAGCGGCAAAGGTGCAGGGTCCAACTCACCCACGGGGTCCACTACTTCTTCAGTCCCATTCCCCTTGCAGCTCACAGGAACATGGGGCACATCTTCCTCAGAGAAAGTGGAGGCAAAGAGTGAATCAGACAGGTTAATTTCCTGATTCTGTTTACAAACCTGTGCTCGTGTAGTGACGCTGGCTACAAAGATATGAGCATGGGTTTTCACCAACTCATCCTGCTCAGATTCAGGGATAGGATTGCTGACCACTTTAGGGACAGGAAACACCTTGCCCCCAGCAATATCATTCCCCATGATTACCTCAATGCCCTCTATCGGAAACTCTGCACGTACACCCACCGTAAAGAAACCAGTTACCAGATCGGAATGGACATAGATCTGGTGCAGTGGGGCTGGTACTAAACCCATTTCGATACCCCTCACTATGGCACTCACATCAGAACGGTCATCCACGGGGAGAATGCCAGACAGGATTAGTGACTGCAAACAGGCTTTGTCGCTGGTCTGCCGCTTTCCCTGTCAGAGAGACAAAACCGTCAAAGATAAAAGGTTTAAAGCAGTCGTCAGCTGTCTCACGCATCTCAAGCTCTAGCCCCTGGGGTCGGGGAGATGTTCTAATCACACCCCACACCCTTTGGTTGCTTTTTATTTGGACTAGGTTGCTCCCTCTTCCAAGCTCTGCAGTCAGCAATCAGATGTCCAGGCTTGCGACAAAAGAAACAGACTCTATCGGTCTTTTGAGTGGGGGACACATTGGGACGACTGCTAGGGGGATTACGCACCGGCTGCTCAGTCTTTTGAAACCCTACTCGCGAAGAAACATCGCGCCTAGTGAAGGTGGCCTTGTGCAGAAGTGCAAACTTGTCTGCGAAAATGGCGGCCTGCTGTAAAGTAGTAATTTTTTTGTTCACCCAGATACACAGCAGTACGCTCAGGCAGACAGTTCCCCAGTGAAAGTCTCTCTCTCTCTCTTCCCTCTCTATCTGAAGCTGCAACAAACAAATTTTTAGCCAGCCATCCTGCTTAGAACCAGGGGATGACTCGACTGAAAATGGCACAAAATGGGGCATAGTTACTGGCTTCTCTAGCGGTACCCCTTGTTGACCAGCAGGAGTCCCATTACCAACACAGTCCCCCCAAATACTCAGCTCTGGGTCAGGATTGCGTACAGTTCCCGGTAATGTGATGACTCCCTTACTGATAAGTCCATCCAAAACTACAGCTTTTAGCTCAGCTTTCACTAGTGAAGTGGACACAGAAATGTCATAATAGTTAGCAATGGCATGGAGTTCAGTTTTCTTGCATCTATCCAACTCATTTAAATCTGGACTGGACACAAAAGTATTCAACTCAAAAGCTGCCATGGCCACAACAAGTAAAATACACACAATATCCCTATGCTGAATAAGATAACATTAATGCTTGATATTAATCCTCTGACAGGCAGACAGCCTCCCTCCACGGAGCAAACTTCCTCAGCACCTGCCTCACCAAACTTACCTATCTATCTTCAGAAGCCCACGTCGGAGAACGCCGTCTCTGCCCAGGATTGTACTTCCAAAAATAATAAAGGCAAAACAATAAATTAGTGCCCGATGGAAAGGCTGCTTCAGCCCAGCTGGACACTACCCTGAGCTAAGCTGAGGAAGTAGTCAAGTGGTTATTCACTCGGAGTAACATCAATCATTATATTGCCAAAAACAGCAAGATATGTAGCTGGGTCATCAATTACCAACACTTCATTTCCTGCATTCTGGTGAATGTTTCTGTACCAATTTATGGTGGAAATGATTTTATTTAAGGAAGCACAGAATTCACTTGGCAGCTGACATTTCAAAATATAAATCTAATCTACAGAATGCAGCTCTCAGACATTCTGTGTTGCTTCCAAATCCGTTTCTCCTGGAGATCAATTTTTCTCATGCAATATCATTCCTGCTGAGTCAGCACACATGCAGGCATGACATGGTCTTTCCTCCTCTTTTGGCATGTTCACAGGGAGAGAACGGAAACTTGGCAAAAAAGAAACTGTGTCAAGAGGTTGTTAAATTTCACGTTTTTTGGTAATTTTATAGTCAGAAGCTTTTTTTCTTTAGCTTAAGTTACTTTTTTTGGACAATGCACATTTTTTTCTTCAATATTTTAATTGCATTGCATGGTTTGTTAATGTACAAATAAATCTTTCTAAAGGCATTTTCGTTTGTTATTTTACTGCAAGCTATATTTCAGAATGCTTAAAAAAAATCTAATTATGCTTTAAAATAGTGGTGGGGACAAAATCAGTCATTTCAGAAAGTGGTGGGGACATGTCCCCAGCGTCCTCGGTGTAAATGACCCCAATGCTCAGCAGGGTCTGGCCTGGTTGCTACCTGGATAGGAAACCACCTGGGAAAATCTTTTTTCCCCTCCCTTCTCTCCTTCCTCTACACCTTTAGTGTGACCAGCAAACACTTGAACATTCTGGCAGAAACCTATTATTTTACTCATCAACGTTGACAAAGTTGACAACTGATGTTGCTATTATAGATGGCAAGAAATTGCAATTTTATACTACGAAAAAACACAACACTTTAGCAAGCTAGATATAACAAGCAGAAAGTATAGAATGTACAATTCAGTCAGTTCCTTGGAAGAAGCTAGCTCTGTTTTCATGGCAGAGGCTGTGAAGAGGCCAAAGAAGAGTCGTGTTGGAGGAAAAAAGGAAAAGAAAAAGAGAGACTATTACTCATTGACATGAGCAAAAAGAGATGCAGCTGTCCTTATTTATATTTAAATTCTTAAAGTTTCTATAACACATAATAAGGTTCACCATGCCACACACATGTAAACAGAGTTTATTCACTGAAATATAATGCAAAAGGTATGAGGGACAGCAGGTAAGGGCAAATATAGCACTGATGAGACTCATGTACAAAAACCATGTGTTTCCCTGACTTCACTGATTTACCAAAATCATTTCAGTCATGGCTCTGTTCACTGCAGTTACTATGATGCAGCACAGAGCCGGACAAGAGATTATTTTATGCACATCTGTCTTTTTTTTGTGAATGCAAAAGTTGCAAACTACATGTTCACTGTGAGTAGCTGACATCAAAGACACCTCTAGAGGAACAGAGAGCTGAGTAGCAAGTAGCATTTCTTTTGGACAAGTTCATCTCCTCTTATGGTGCTTACGCCGGCAGCTCATCTGTTCTCACCGCACCAGTTTCATTTGCCAGAGTCGTCCATTGTAGAGAATCTGTCCACCTCCACAGCTTATCTTCTCTTGGTTCCTCCAAAACCTGACAAACAAACAAACTGTCATACAAACTGCCAGCTGTACATACAGCATGTCACTGCTAAGGAAGTAATTGTAATTGTTTTGTTTTTACATTTGATACTGATTTTTTTTTTTTAATCAATTATTTTTTAAATGTTTGTCTATTAATATACACACACACGTTACTGTTTCATTTATTTAGTTAAATATTTTTATATATTTTTATTTTTTAACACACACACACACACACACACACACACACTTTATAAAACAATTTACTCTTATGTCTTGAGTAAATTTACATAATAAAATAATTTTTCTTAAACTTTTAATCTGGCATATTCTTTAAGTTTGTATTCAACAGAATACTTTATTGTATCAATTAAAAGTACTGAAACAAATGTATACATGACATAAAAAGTTATTATTTTGGCCGGAGGATTTTCTTTTACTACTAGTCCCATTGGCAGGTGAGCCAAAAAGTTAATTTCCACCCCTGCACCCAACCCACAACACTTCATGGAAACAGGATTACTAAACAATATTTATAACAATAACTTCCTTAAAACAGAACAAAGAGAATGTGTTGCTCTCAGAGGGAGGTTGCTAGAAGGAGCACATATTCGCACAATGGCACCGTGGCTCTGGTTAAATCTACATCTGTCCCCTGAGGAGGCTCTATCCACAACCTGGAGGGGGAACTAGTAGAAATGAGTGTATTAGTTTATTATTATAACATTAAATAAAAATGTGATGTTCTCCTGTTAGTATAATTTGAACATATTGATTATATAATGTTACTTTATTCGTTATAATATTAATTCCAGTTCCAAAGCAGATTCATTTTTGTGGCTTGTTTCATGAATTAAATCCTCTAAAAGTGCTAACCCTGCAAAGTCTGCTGTGGCACATGAAACCTTTTTTAACATTCCGCCCCATTCAGGCTGGGATTGGTCGGCTGACGAAATGTGACATGTGAAATGTGAAAAGCTCGGATGTCCTGATGATGTAATGTTGTTATGTATGTGTGGTTCCTGTTGACAGATGATGATGATGTCCGGCACGCCCTGCTGCTTGGTTGGTTCAGGAGCAGCTAAACCAGCACAGAAATGCATCCAAAAGAATAAAGCAGGGGTCTCAAACTCAAATCACTGAAGCCACTTTGGTACATTGGCAGCATTAAATTACTCCATGAAAGCGCAATATTCTCAAAATGTACTTATTGTAGTACCATTACAAACAATTTGGAACATTTTCATGTGTTTTTCTGAAATAAATTGTAAATTAAAGCTGCCTGGTACTCAACTCAAATGTAGTCCATTCTCAAGTACATGTAACTGAGGAATGTACTTAAGTAAATCACATTGGTGAAGTACACACTCAGCCACAAATGAACTCAAATCTTGCAAACTGTGCATCATACTTAACAAAGAGAATGCAAACATCAGTTTTATACTTCAGTTTAACAATGAACTAACAAATGCAATCCCTGAATACTTTGTTGGATCATAGGCCTACTTTGAGCTCCTTCGCACACAATTGAAACACATTTGCTCTGATGGAGGTTGCAGTTGAAACCCTGAGTAGCTACAGCTTCAAGATGGGCATCAGTTAGTGAGCCTGGCCCTGTACTTTTCACTTAGTATAGCTTAGCATAGTTGAGAAAACAATCTGACACAGTCTTTGCTTCCTAAAAGGCACATTAACTGACTGAACACTTGAACAGTTCTGGGAAGGATGGATATACAGGAAGTGTCAGAAACTGTCCAATCAGATCTGCTTTTCCCCCGTGCCTCCCTGAATGTGGTTTTTAGTTCACTGTTACACTGCAAGTCAATAAGGACAATGTCTACATTGAAACATCGGGATGGACAATGGCATCGGGTACGCGCACGGGGCGGGGGGGAATAGCGGTGGTCTTGTATGTGCATGTGTTACCTCGCACAGACTTCACTCGGTTAAAAACTTGTTAGGCAATGACGATACAAGTTGCGGTGGATGTTTTACAAGCACAGACCAGGTAAAGTGCTGAATACAGGGTGCAGGTGTTAGTTTCGGTGGTTTGATAGGCTGCGTCATTAACAAGCCCCCAAGCGCCGTGATAACAGATCGCTGGTGGAAAATGCGGAAAAAAGACGAGTTGTGGCCTTCAGTGGTGATTAATTCACTCACCACATAACTTGCTTCAACTACAGTTTCAGCATCCTTCTTGGCTTTATGAAAAAGACTTTGCTAAGATATAATTCCTCTCTGCGTGGTCATCTCCCTGGTACCTACTTCTCGTTGCACTCCTTGTTTAGTCCAGACGCTTGATATTATATTCCTTTAAAACAGTAACTGATTTGTTGCATATCAGACAGGTAGCTTTTCTATTAAACTCCACAAAAACAGCCTACTGCTTTGTCCATCTTTCTTGATTTTATTTATTATTATTTATTTTTGTCCACATTCCGTTTCGACCCCTAGAATAAAGCATGGAATAAAGTATGAAAAAAAGGTTGCAGTATATCAGACCACAGAATACACTGAACACCTGTTCTCGTGTAATTAGAGAACTAGAGATAAAGCCCCTTGATAAGACGTCTACTTGTTGCTTTTGTGAATGCAATGTGTCTCCATACGCGTTTGTGTGTAGTTTGTGGATGATTGGTTGTACATCCAGCATTGTGTTACGGGGTTTTCTTTCATTGACATTGGCGAGCCAATAATCATGTCATCATATCCACACTGTAGTGAAAGGAGGTCTCCTAGTGTGGCCCCCTGCTCAGCATCCACTCCACACAGAGATATTTTGTGCAATTGACTAATCTCATGTAAATTTTCAACTTTTCAGTGCACATGGTTTTAGCCAAAAGTAGTTTACATCTTGTCAATGTGAAACAGCCCAAAATAAGGGGTGAGTGATATGACTAAAGTGACAGTGTATGTACTTATATGGCATACACAATCAAAATTCAGTTGACACATTTGTTTGGTCTCGGTACAGTACATACTTTCATATCGCCCCATTAACAACCATCAACATCCTCTCATCGTTCTATAAATATCCACCCTTCATCGATATCCAATCAGTTAACTGCTGGGTGTGAGCGGTGGTGAAAGGTCGATGAAGTGTCTCCTACCTGAAGCAGTGCGTGTCCCAGAGGAAGAGGATGAGCCTCCAGCAGGAGTGGGTCTGCTGTCAGTGTAAGTGGAGGAGTTGTAGTTGTAGGACTGGCTTCTGCAAAACAAACACAATGAACCTGAGGGCTCTGAATGGAACAGCAAGGGATTATCTAAGTATCTCTCTTCATCTCTTTACTAACCTCTGGCCAAAAAGATATCCCAGCACACCTCCTGTCCCCATGCCAGTCCAGAAGCCTCCACCTGCACCGGGCGCAGCTCGGCCTCGTGGGTACTGTTGTCCATGTGTGTAATCACTGTGGAAACCGTAGCCTGGATTGGCACCAGGGTAGCCTAAACACAAACCAAGAACAGATCAGAGGCTTCAGCAGGGTATTCATCCTTCAACTATTTCTACAAGAGAAAGGAACATGACATCCTCCATAACAAAGAGAGGTATCTCTCGGAGGATGTGTTTCCAGGGAGAATCTAATGTTGCTCTGACCACTCTGCATTCTGCATGAGCTACCTGTGAAGTCAGGTTTAAATCCTGGGGGTGGGGGTCCTGCATTGGAGCCATGGGGATTATCTCTTGGGTAACCAGTGTGTCCGCCCTCCTGCCCCCACTGGGCCGTGTTCCCACTGAAGAACAGCTTGTAGACACCATAGGCTAGAAGCAGTAGTACAGCGAGCACCAGCAGGCCTCCAGAGTCCTCGCTGCCTGATGGGAACGAGCTCTGACGGCTCTGCTGGTGATGTTGATTCTTGTTTCCAGAGAAACTGCTGAAGAAACTGGATGCAAAGCCTGAGACGAACAAACAGAAAAAGACATTATACAAATATCTTGTTCTCGTGTGAAGAACAGACATTTCCACACATTTCCATCCTCCTACCTCCAAATCCCTTGAATCCACCTTGGGAACCCCAGCTGCCTTGAGTCCTTCTCCGGCCCTCTTCAGTCAGTTCCAGTGTGTACTCCAGCCCACAGGAGCCCTTTAGTATGTAGGCGTCAGCAGGGTGGCTGTAGCCCTCACAGCTCACCTCAATGCGACCAAATCGGTACGCGTTATCCATATCAGTCTTACACTCCCACTGTGAGGGGGACATAGGAATATCACAACCGGTGGAGATCCTATCATTCCAAACCTTATTTGCTTGTTCAAACACATCAGGGATGAGAGCTAGCTTATTTTGAATAACATGCATGGTACAGTCAATAGAGCCACACCTTGAGGCACTGAGAAAAAAAAAAAAAAAAGAGTAAAGTCCAAACTAGCAACAGCAGCAGGCTGCTATGACTGATGTGAGTCCCGCTCTGCAATTGAAGTGACTAGTACAGCAACAAGAACAAGATCCTTCACTGGTTCCCCACCAGCAAACACAGCCAATTGTGTTTGTTGGAAAAAGATGTTGGAATATTTATAGAGTTGTGACTAGGCAGACACTTTACAGTCTCAGTGCTCTCTGCTGGACAGACTCTAATGTTTCTACATGACCTCAAAACTCCTGTTACTTGCAGGCTGACATGTGCTGATACCAATACATCAGCCTGAATGCATGACAAAGATAGAGGTACTGCTACCTGGGACCTCAAGATTCTGTGGTGGGTGTGACATTTACCACAAAGTTGGACCATCAGGACAGGTCCATTGACCAATCATACAACCAGTATTACTCAGGACTAGAAACAAAAAGATCGATTTACTGATTGGCAAAAAATAACAGTCAACTATTTTGATAATCAATCAATTATTTAAGTCATTTTTAAGCAAAAAGACTAAAACACAGGTGCTTCTAAAAAGTGAATCTTTAAGGTTTTCTTCGTCTTGTGTGACTGTAAAATGTAGGTTTTTGGGTTTCAGACAGATGTCAGATAAAGTGAGCGAGGACTCTGCGAAGTTGTGACGGTCATTTATCACTATGTTGTGATATTTTGTAGAGAAAATGATTCATCAAGAAAATAATGTGCAAATGAATCAAAACCTGCAGCTCTGCTCAGATCAACCCTGTCCTGTCCTAGCTGCCCACCGTTACCTCCATCCTCACCTGTACATCCACTCCATCCCAACCTTTGTTCTGGCACTGGACCACCTCTGGGACGTAGGTCTGGCAGCCAGCTGAGCCTCCTACACACTGGAGCTGCAGTACGGGGCTAGAGCGCCTCGCTGTGGTGTAGCGATCCCTGTACAGACTCAACACCTGGACGTCCCGCAGCAGCACACTGTCTACAGGGGTGGGGTAAAAAAATTAAATATATATACTAAAAATATAAATGATTCTCACTCACACATGCACATGTACTTTCCTGTTGGACTGCACTGTCAGACTCAGCAACCAGCAGAGTAGAGAAATGTCAGAGAGAGGCAACTCAACAGATCTCAATTCCCACACAAAATAAAGTTAAATCCCCAGGTTGGGATTACTTTCTGTATCCAGAAATGAACGTGATGTTCTGGAAGATGGCAATCCAACATCTAAAAATGTGGATGCAAAGCGGAACACATCCAACTTGTTGGCCCATCTCCTGAAGAAAATCCCTCTGTTCAGATCCAAGTACTGTATGTGTCCCGCTCATAAATGTAGCTGTTAAACAAATGTGTGAACGTTTAAATGTTGGTCATAAAATGCCCTTTACATCAAAATATTTTTCCGATTGACTAACAATCGCCATCAGGCTCAGCAGCCACACAACGCTAGTTATCAACCCGTTAATCCAGCCATCCAACGTGAAAGGGCCGCTGTTTGCAGCAGATGACCAATTGCAAAGATGCCCAAGTCTGACAGCAGTGCGGCATATTTTATAAACAGTGCAAACTATAATATCAGACAGACAGGAAGAAATTAAAACATTATCCAGCTGCCACATGCATGAACACTAAAAACCTCAGACTGTGTGAACGTCTAAGTTAACAGGTGTGGAATATAAATAGTTGCTTTGATCCAACGAAGGTTAAAGTCAAGGGCAACTGGACTTGGTTGAAGATACTGGAAGACGTTTCATTTCTCATCCAAGGGACATCTTCAATTCTGACTGACTGGTTGGGAAACTCAGCTATTTAACCTCAGTGTATTGTAAGTGGGGGATAAGTGGTGGCGTAGACCCCCTCCCCTGTTCAATGACGGCTTCTCAACCCGGATGTAGATGGCTTCCTTGACACCTCTTTCAAACCATCCATCTTCTCTGTCTAAGATGTGCACCTGGTGGTCCTCACTTACAATGCTGTCCTTTCATCACTTCCCAGGAAACTCAACAAACATAACCTATTGGCCTCAGGTGAAGATGCCAACGATGGTCGTTCAGTCTTGGCCTCGGGTAGTCCTAACAACTGTAACGACAGTCACAGCAACAAGGAACACTAACGAACCAGCGGTATCGATGACCCGGGCCAACGACCCCACTGAGGTTAAATAGCTGAGTTTCCCTGCCAGTCAGTCAGAACTGAAGCAGTCCTTTCCACCGTTGTTTGCAAACCAATAGATCACAATGAACAGTCAAATATCCACACAAGTCTTGCCGATATCACCTGAGATCGTATGTCGGCATAAAATGTATTGCTCTGAAATAGCAGCTAGCGTGCAGCAGTGTGTTTTTACAGCTTACAGTTGATGGAATTATGCTAAATACTGGGTCCGAAGTTGTTGTAACTATACATTACAACATGTAATTAGGCTCATTAAAAATCACGTTCCACAGACATGAGTGTCACAGCTAATGTGCAGCTCCTGTCGGCTGGAAATGTTCTAATAACCTTCCAAACTGTCGCAATTTTATTTTTGTATTGCTTTCTCTGTGCCAGAGTTCTTTTAAGAACCTGATGGCTTTATCCAGTTTGTTATTAAACTTCACGTGTCTCTTTATTATAGGCAACTCCTACACACAAACAAGCTGTTTCACTGGTCCAGCACAGCCTATAGTTTTTCATTATATTCCAATCAAATCTGATGTTGATTTATAAATTTTTCTCATGTATCGTGGTTACTAATAATTTTGCCTGTACATCGCTTTGTACGGTATAGGCCTACAGCCTACATCAGCTGGTTATTTTGCCTAATCTTAGGAGGTCTTTTCACCACGGTAGAAACGCACACAATAGTGGGCTGAAGGAACTTTTCAGTTCCTTGAAAAGAGATCTGGGGAATTAAAAGTCCCCTATACTTTTGTAAAAACACGACTTAAGATTGTCCCTGATTGCCACTGTTATCACCACTGTGTTCTGGGTGAATGAGTCATGGTGGGATTCTGACCAACTCAGCATTTGGTCAAGCGCTTCGAATTGTTGGGCTTCTGTAAATAACATCACAGAGTACGGTCTAGTTTGTTAAAGTTCAGACCATGTAAAATATCAAAAATGACCATTTAATTCAAAATGGCAAGAGATGATACAAGTGCTCGAGAAATTTCGTACATCTAGGTGAAATGTGGCGTGGGGGCTGCTTCGTTGAAGTTCCACTATCTGATGCCAGTAGGTAGCGCTAAGAGTACTTGTGAATTTTGCCTTTTAGATGTGTTCAGGTTGTGAACCTTATCAAACATGTGAAATTTGGTAGAGATACTACTACTTCCTGTTTAATGGTGATGCATCGAACTAAGCCGCCATGCCACAGACAAGCTGTTACACGAAAACTCACAAGCTTCACAACAGAGCATCATCAATAGCCGTGTTTCCATCAACGTTTTTTAATGAGCATTTTGAAGTATCGCATTAGAAAAGGTTGATGGAAAGGCAAAGGCTAATAAAATCTTTAATTTCGCAAACAAGTTTTTACGTTCACTTGAGGTGGTTTTTGTCTTTGTCAAAAAAGAGTTAGTGTGCTAAATGGGAGATGGAAACACTTTTTCCGAATAAGTTCTGACGTAGCGAACTTGTAACTCACGACAGATCAGCCGTTTCTGCTGGACCTCTCTCCATTTTTCTAAGCTCAATGGCCATCAGGTTCATGTGACTGGTTTAGTTTCTGGTTTGGAACCCATACATCTTGTTTATTACAGCCATGTGTAACATCAGCTACTAACGTAACTATGCTTGCCGTAGCCTGGTTTATTCGCTCCAAACCAGCTGATGGAAACACAATTTCTTTTTTTTGTCTTTTTAGCGACAAAAGTACGCTTAAAATTCGGATGACAAAAACTCACAGATAGCACAACTTTTCATCATTAGTGTCTCCTCGGGAGGAGATTAGGTTTACAGCATCAGTTGCTGGAGTTACTGATCTAGGGTTTATCTGATCTCGCTCTCTGAAACAGAAAACCCGGTGTTTCCCTCATCTCAGGCTCAAAATACTCAGAATTTTCACTAATCCCGCTTTTTGAAACGGGGATCAGCTCAGAGCATTTCAGAGATAGAGAGCAGTGTGCATCATCACGACTGCACACATCAGGTAAAACCTGTCCACCTTTCATAGTACAGGTTAATCTGGAGGCTACACCTGACGTCACAAAGAAAAAGCCCATTACCTGGCTTTGTAGAAGCTACAGGCCTCTCATCACTTATCACAAGTAAATAAAAATAAATAAATACATCATACTTTAAATACATAAGATAAAAATAGTAAGATGGAATTGGTAAGATATGTATGATACTTTCTTATTGGTAGTAGTATACTAAGCCCTCAGTGCTAGCTAGAACAAGATTAACTACGTAGCTAAATATTAGTTTTAGCAGCTCCATGTGACATATGGATATTCCTGCAGAGTCTGAATAAGCAGGCTGTATTAAAAATTTTAAAAGCAATGATAGTATTACATATATTTAATTTGTTTCAATACTCGCATAGGAAGTTGGAGGGCAGTGAGCGGAAGTTTGGCTACCGCTCCTCACCGATACTGTAATCATAATGTGAGCTTGCCCGTTTCCTAAACATGGCGGCTGCCAACAAAAAAATTAAAATGTTAACTAGCACAAGGAAGCAAAACCTACCGCTATCCCAACTTTTGGTGTGCCCCACCAAGAAAAACTGCAACACAACGGTAATAAACCGTTTCATTTCCTTGCCGTTTAATCCCTCAAGAGATTCCGACAGTGGTTGTTTCTCTCAACAATTACTTCAAAGTTGTTGTTAAAATGGAATCGGCTCACTCTGCGTTACATTAAACCCGACTGGAATAGTAACACATGTTAACTTCCGTGTTTCGTCATCTGTTTTTCCTCACGCCAACCAATGGAGGACGTCCACAACTGCAGTGTAATGGCTCACTCCGCTCTGGCTCACTACTTCTTCTTCTTCTTCTTCTTTATCTGGCGGGTGGCAACCAGCGTTAAGGTGTATTACCGCCACCTATTATGTTGGAGAACAAAAATTAATTAATTAATTACTTCACTGCGTAGTAAACTCTATTGATCAATCCAGTTTCTTTAAAATAGCTAATGAAATAGTTTCCCTTCCTCAACAATTCTTCAATTCTTTCTGAGCATTCTGATTTCCCTCCTTAATGTTTCTCGTTCTGGATAAATTTTAGACAGTGAAGAATGACATATTCTACTGATTCCTCTAGTTGACAGTGTTCACATAATCCTCAAGGGTGGTTGTTTACTAAGTGCAGGGTTTTATAAAGTCTATTTTGCCCTACCTTCAGCCTTGTCATGATGTTCTCATATTCATTGTTGTGTCTCCCTGTCTTTCCTGTGTCCCAGCTGTTCTGCCACTCGTTAATGATGCTTGGTTTGATTATTCCTTTGATTCAAATCAATTAAATTTAATTTTTATAGCGCCAAATCACAGTTAACAGTTATCTCAGAGCGCTTTTCATAAAGAGCAGGTCTCGACTGTACTCTGTGATGATATTTACAGAAACTCAACAATTCCCACCAAGAGCAAGCACTAGGCAACAGAGGCAAGGAAAAACTTCCTTTAAGAGGCAGAAATTTCAAGCAGAACCATGGCTCAGGGTGGGCGGCCATCTGCCTCCACTGGTTAGGGGTGAGGGAGAGAGAGAGAGAGCTTTATTTGTAGCTTTGGCAACATTGTTGCTATACATTCATGCCAATAATGCTAATTTGAATTGAATTGAAAATTGAGAGTGAGAGGGCAAGAGAGGGACAGAAAGACAGAGAGAGAGGGATGGAAGGAGAGAGAGAGGGGGGAGGCAGCCTACACAATATACACACAGAGGTACAGACAGTAAAGGTGATGTTGCTATAGACTGAATGAATAATGGTACAGATATTTATAGTGTTAATGATAATAATCATAATGTTAAAGATAATAACAATAGGACTAGTAACAATAATTGTAGCAGAGGGTGTTTCTGTCCTCGGGCTGCACAGCTCAGTCCTTGGGCTGCCCGCCGGACCTCCCTGGCTCCCCTGCTCTGTCCTCGGGCAGCCCCCCTGAACTCCATGGCTCCCCACGTCCGCCCGAACCCCCTGGTCCCTCTGCTCCGCCCTCGGGACATCCGCCCGAACCCCCTGGTCCCCCTGCTCCGCCCTCGGGATGTCAGTCTGAACTCCCTGGTCCCCCAACTCTACCCTCTGGCACCCTGTCTTGCCCTATGTTTTCTGTTCAGCCCTGCCCGTTCTCCTAACCCTTCCCAGTCCTGAAGCCCTCCCTGTATTCCCTGTTTGGTTTAGGACCCTGGACCCCCACCAGCCGGACCCCAGTGCAACTTCCTGCCCCCTACGTTCGTCTGCCAAGCTCTCTCTCTCTCTCTCTCTCTCTGTCTATGAAGATTCTCAGTCATCCAGGTCATAGTTATCCAACGAAGGTTAAAATGAAGGGCAACTGGACTTGGTTGAAGCTACTGGAAGACGTTTCGACCCTTATCCAAAGGACTTCTTCAGTTCTCTCTCTCTCTCTCTCTCCCTCTGCTCCTGAGCCCAGCCAACTACTTGCACCTCATCAGCCACCTCGTCAGCCTGCCACACCTGCCAGTAATCACCTCATGCCTGCCTGTATTTCAACCCCGGTTCTCCACACCATCCTCGCTTGATCGTCGTTGCTGCATACCCGGTGCCACCTCCATGTTCAGGCTTTTCATGTTCCTTGTTTTTTCACTTTTTCCCTGTGCTTTATCGCCGTCACCCCTAACCCTGTCTCTCTGTCTGTTTCCCTCCCAGGTACACTCACCCTCGTCCTCCGTTCAGTCGGCTGGGCTCATCCACCGGCCCTCTCCTCCTCAGACTACCCCCACGGCGTCCTCCCTGTTCCCCCACCGCTCCTTGCTTCCTTGGTCCCAGTGTTCCCCGGCTCCCTGGCCCCCAGTCTTCCTGGTTCCCTGTGCCTGTGTTTCCCCAACATCCACCTCTCCCTCCCCTCCAGTCCCTCTACCCCTTTATCCCTCAATAAACCTCCTTCCCTCAGAGTGCTGCTTTTGGGTCCTCTCTGTCCCCACACCACACAACCCTATAACAATATCTTTAGATAAGGCGTCACAGAGGTGCCTGGGCCCCAGAACAATAAGTTCAGTTTTATCTGAGTTTAACATCCGCGCTGCAGCTGGCTGGCTTCCAACTGTACAGAACTCTCCGGCAAAACAAAAGGTTGAGGTATCTGTTTTTATATTAACAACGGCTGGTGTACCAACGTGACAGTGATTCAGCAGCACTGTTCTCCTGATCTGGAATTTCTTATCATTAACTGTAAACCGTTTTACTCCCCACGTGAGTTTGCTTCATTAACTCTGGTCGGTGTTTACATCTCGCCGCACACCAACGTTCAGGACGCACAGAGCATGCTGGTCGACCGGATACTGTGTGTGGAGCTGACAAACCCGGACTCCCTTGTTATTGTTCTCTGTGACTTTAACAGGGGAAATCTCAGCCAAGAACTCCCCAAATACAGACAGTTTATAACGTGTCCAACCAGAGAGGGGAACACTTTGGATCACTGGTACACCACAGTTAGCAGTGCCTATCACGCCGTCACACTGATCACGTGACGGTCCATCTGATTACCGTTTACAGGTAAAAACTAAAGCTCTGTAAACCTATAGTGACAACATGTCTATGAAGATTCTCAGTCATCCAGGTCATAGTTATCCAACAAGTTTGTTGGATAACTATCCAACAAGTTTGTTGGATAACTATAGTGACAACATCAAATAAGTGGACTAGTGAAGCTGTTGAGGACCTCCAGGCATGTTTGGACTGCACTGACTGGGATGTTTTCAAGAATGCTACCAACAGTCTGGATGAGTTTACAGAGGCTGTGACGTCCTACATTAGCTTCTGTGAGGACAGCAGCATTCCAACACAGACCAGGGAGAGTTATAACAATGACAAACCCTGGTTTACAGCTAAACTGAGACAGCTAAGGTTGGAAAAGGAGGCATTTAAGGGTTGGTGACAGGGCCAGGTGCAGGGCGTTAAAGTACAGGTTTAGCAGGGAAGTGCGAGAAGCTAAATGGCTGTACTCAGAGAGACTAAAGAACCAGTTCTCTGCAAACAACGCCACTTCTGTCTGGAGGGGGTTCAGACAGATCACAAACTATAAACCCAAAGTCCTCCACTCCAGAAACAATTCTCACCTGGCAAATGAGCTGAACCAGTTCTACTGCCGCTTTGAGAGTCAATCTGACACCATCCCCCGTGACTCCTCCACTCAGGTTCAGCCTCAGTCCATCACATCTTCCCCTCCCTACTCAGAGCTGGCCAGCTCCACCCCCTCCCCATCTCTCTTCATCACAGAGAGGGAAGTCAACGGTCTTTTCAGGAGGCAGAAATCCCGCAAAGCAGGTGGGCCGGACTTTGTCTCCCCATCCACCCTGAAGCACAGTGCTGATCAGCTGTCTCCAGTCTTCACAGACATTTTTAACACCATGTGCCATGTGCCAGCCTGCTTCAAAGCATCCACTATCCCCAAGAAACCAAGGACCACTGGACTAAACGACAACAGACCTGTCACCCTGACCCAGACTCTCCGCTCTGGCAGAAGGCTGCGGTCCATCAGGACCAAAACCTCTCGCCACAAAAACTTTCTTTTCTTTTTTTTCTTCGCGTCTGCAGCTAGCCTCATTAACAAGGCCCGGGTCCCCCACTGACACTCCCCCCTTGCAAATTATAAAAATGTCTCTGCACATGTAAATATTGTTTCATATCGTGTCGGGCACAGACCTGGCACGTCGCACATATTTGTTGTTGATTGTTGATCTTTGTTGTATATTTTTATGTTGTCAGTTTATTTATATGTACACAATATTCTTTTCCGTTGCGTTACTTCTGCACGGCACACATCAAGAATAATGCACATGTATATATCTGCAACGTTGTTCTTCCATTCCATATTTATATATTTCTACATTTATTTATGTTGACTGTATGTTTGTCTACGTGTAGCACCTTATCACAGCAGCAAATTCCTCATATGTGTAAAACACTACTTGGCAATAAAAATTGACTTAATGTCATGTCTCCAGCTATTTCCTCACATTTCCATGCAGAACACCCACGTTTGGCCCTTTCACTCTCACAACATGGGAGAAGTACCCTTGTTGTTGGATGTCAATACTCAGAATGCCCTTGCAGATTTACCCAGTAGTGCATCATTAACTGTTTATATCTAATATGCAGCGGCATTTCCCCACCTCAACCTGAAGAGCAGACACAGGAGTGGTTTACAGCCCCACAATAGAGTCTCAAGGCTTGAGCTTGCTCCACCTCCAACTTTAATTAAGTTTTTGATGCCAATCCATAAGCAATTAACCCATAATCTAATACTGGTCTAATCAGAGTTATGTACACATTGTTAATAGCAGCCCCATTCTGACTCTGTTAAACATCACATTCAGTATATTTTTACACTTGCTGTTTATCTTACTGATATGTTCATTCCACGTTAACTTATCATCAAACCACATACCCAGAAATCTAAAGGCTTTTACTTGCCCAAACATCTTTATCTGTGCATCAACCTCTCTCTTTTTAGTGAACACTATTGTCTTAGTTTTTCCAATTGCAAACTTGAATCCCCATGCAAATGACCATCTTTCCATCACATTAATTGCCTCTTGTATTTCCCCCATAATAATTAATGTGCTTTCCCCTTTTCCACAATGCTCCATCATCAGTAAACAGTGACTGTCTAATATGACCCTGAACTTGAGAAAAAACATCATTGATCATAATGGTAAAGAGTATAGGGCTAGTGGCACTGCCCTGAGGAGTACCATTTTCTACCATATAGCTTCCTGATACAGCTGTCCCAATTTTGACTTTTATAAATC